TATATTAAAATTATTTTAAGGTTGAAACTAATTGTAAATTCCAAAATTCATATTCAAGTATTATTAAATGCTAAGGAAAGAAGATGCACAGAGCTTATTCCATCAATACCTTCCCATCTTTTCATTTCGAGCTTTACTCTCTGGTAGGCAGGGAGAGGTCTCTCAGTCACCTCTACGTCTGCACCAGGCATCTGCACAGATGCGACTGGCATTCCGCGAAAGTCTGACCTAAACCAAAAGGCTGCCTAATGCAGATACAGTCTGAAATATCATTCTCATTATACAAGTGCAGTTTAATGAAGTTGTCTATTAAAAACATAAAAGCAAGCAAGGAAAATTCACCAACTGGTTTTAGAGAGCTATTTCTGCAAATAAAATTGGGGTTGATTCTGGACTACATGACAGTGGTAGAAAATAATCTATTTGAAGAACTGAATGCCACCAAATCATTTGAAATTTACTAAGAAAAGATTAACCAAAAGTCGGCAGTTTGAATCCACCAGCAGCTCCTTGGAAACCCTATGGAGCAGTTCTACTCTGTCCCGTAGGGTCGCCACGGGTCAGAATCCACTCAATAGCAATGGGTTAATAGGTTAATAAGGAAGGAACACTTTCAAAGTAGTCACTTCTATTACTCAGCTACCACCAACAGAACTGCCCTGGTAGCACAGTGCAGAAACGACCTGTTCTTCACAGAGAAGTCTGACCAACAGGACCTCTGAGACCCGGCCCAGCCTCCCTTCCTGGCCCCACCTCCATCACTCTTCCAGCAAGGACGAGGCTCTGCTCACGAAACATCTGCCGTTCCCCAGTGCACTATGCACTGATCCCTGCTCTGCCTGCACACATCACCGGTCTTGAGTAAATGTGAATGAATGGATGGATGGATGAATGGTGCAAGTAATGCTGGGGCAGAGGTCACAAAGGAATCGTGGGAAAGCATTAGATTAATTCCATTCAAAAATACCAAGGTAAACTCCCAAAGTAAATATTTAAAAGGTGTTTGAAGCAAATAATATAACTATGAAAATAGATTGTTTATTAATTTGTTAAAATGATTAATTATTAACACAGTCATTCATTTAATTGTTAAATTTTTATTGTTCTATTAGTTTATTTAAATTTTTATTATTAAATAGACTGTCTCTATAAAAGATAAGACCCATCTTACTTAATTACACACACACTCGTATTTAATTTTATTGAAATGCACTAATTTTATGCACTGTAGCTGTTGTGCTAGGTGTGAGTGAGGGCAGGGCTCTCTGTCTTGCTCACCAGTGCACCCCAAGTGTCTGGAACACTACATGGTGCACGGATGGTGCTCAGTACATACTCTTGGATGGATGGATGGAGATGAGTGAGGGGGCAGATGGATGGATAGATGGAGGGACGGAAAAACAAAATTTACTCTGCAATCATGTTGTACCTGGCACACAGGTTGTTACTATATAAAGGACTAAAGGCATAAGGTAAGTTATTTCTGAAAGCATGATTAAAATGACATGCAGCGGTGGCAGGAAGCCACAGCAGAGTAGTTCAGATGTGTAGGCTGAAGGAAGACGGCTGCATTCAAACCTTGGCCCTGTTACTTATTAGGTGTAAATATGAGCATGTTGGTCTCTTTCATCTCAGATTCCCTCTGTGAGGAATGAGGATAACAACGGAGCCTATTTCACAGAGCTTGTTGAGAACTGCGCTGCACAGCCTGGGGACCAGCACAGGGCCCCTGCCACACCCCCCACCTCGCCCCCACCTGTAGGTGCGACGGCTGTGGTCCTCGCCATCCTCTAGGAACTGGGGCCTCTGCGTCTGCACGTCCAGCTCCTCTTGGGGTGACTCCTGGATCAAACGAGTTGTCTAAAATTGTGACAGAAGTATAAAGCAGACTACTTGAATATCTATGAGTAAATAAAAAATAAAGACAAGAACAACTAAAATCTAAGGATAAGAATGTCCACGGGTGCAAATCTAAAAGAGAAGCCTAACCAGTCCATTGCAAGCACTGGTGCCAGAGCAATAAGAAACATCATCTCCACAGATTTTATGAAACACCCATTTTCATTTTATTTTTTATTAAGCTACTTTACTACGAAGAATAATCGATCAATAACGATCTTAAGAGGCTACTCTTTCATCTGCTCTACTCTCACTGACAGTGAAGAACGGTCCTGCTCTCTGAATATGTGACATCTCCTCTCTCACCACAGAAACCACCAGATGGATGGAACACGTTCTCCATCCAGGAACGGTATCTTGCTTAGACAGAGTGCTGACACTGACCCCACCCTTCCAGACATGGGCATGGCGAGCCACACTGTCACAGCAAGCACTGAACACAAATCTGGCCAGTGCACCCCCTGGACAGGGGCAGTTGGCCACTGAGGTACACAGGACAGCCACAGGACGAGATGACACACGGAGCTCCCCTATGTGGCAGCTGTTTCCAGTTGTCTGCTGACTCCCACAACCACACTCGGTAACCCTGACACGTGACAGGTAAGCTCTGCAGAGCTGTGACAGCATCACTAGGTTTACACAGCTTTTCTCAGGGGGCTCTGAGATTAAGGACAAGCTACTACTACTAAGCAGCATGCTCTCCGCTACCCACAGTCATCATCTACTGCTCATTATGCAGTTGTCTGAGCTCTGAAAAAATGCTCTGAACTTCTCAGTGTAGGATTTTGACAGAGCTACCAGCAGTGGCTTCTAAAAATAGGTAGCAATTGACAGGTCAGTCATTTTCATCACTACTGAAAAATTTAAAAAATAAAAATAAAAATTTTCGAAACTGAAAAACCGAAACAAAACAAAAACGTCAATGACTCCAACTTGACTACAGAATAAATTTTTATGATGTACTTAAATATTAATTTTTAACATGTTAAATTCATTATATTTTCATCCTAACATACATCTTTGAAGATTCCATACTTAAAAATGTTTAGGCTTTTGTACCTAAAGTAATATAATATCCTTCAGATTGTATTATACAACACTATACTGTCCTTGGTTTTTAACCAAGAGGGAAAGCCACATTATGATAATGAAATCTGTAAGTTAAACAACAGCAAGAAACAGATTTAAGGAAAAACAAAGCTGCATGTGCTAAACATTTAAGTTTTTACAGCTGCTATAACAACCTTAAAACTACAAGATGTTAGCCTGCCCTTCTCAGTAAACACATTTTAAATGACTTCAGTAAAACATAGAATAGTGTGAGCAGCATGCTTTGTGTAAATACTCACCACACTGATTGTATCTGAGCTGGGGACCTGGAGCAGGTTCTGCTGATGGAAACTGGTAGAAAGAGCTTGAGATTCCAGCGTGCTGGAGTCTTGTAATTGTTGGACAGGGGGAAACTGAGTCTGCTGATTGTATGTGTCAGTCACTGTAAAGCCTGAAATAAGTGAGAAAGTATGAGTTCCACAAAAAATGTTAAAGAGATAAACAAAAAAGTTGGTTTTGTAAGTAAAAATGTCTAAAGGGATCCGATGTGCCTACTCTCTGATTTAGCACCAGAAGCCACCTTCACCCACAGGCTCTCAGGTCATTGGATACCAGGCAGGAGTATGTGCTGAACACACCCTCACCACACAGGTTACAGGGCAGCCATAAGCTCCCAGGTACCAACAAGTCCCAATGGGTACCCAATCACATTTTCTTGGCTAGAAATGGTTGTTCAAGTCCCTTTCCAGAAAATCTGAACAGATGACAAAATAGTATATATCAATAAAAAAAGTTACACAATACACACAAAAAGCTATTTGGTTTGAAACTGTACACTTCAGTAAGTCCTTACAAGAAGCACCTGAGGCTCAAGTCCATCTATGACCTCCCCACTGACCTTGTGACAAGGCTGCTGGTTCAAAGGCCTGTGGTGCAGGAGTCTGCTGTTCAAACTGCTCGATGTGCCCTTGTAGAGGATGCTGAGGGGTCACAAATCTATCTGAAGATGAAAGAAAAGGAGACTCGTTAACTTGGAAGCTATTTCAGGTTTAGTGGGTTTTCTAAAACAAGCCTCTTTTTTCTGAAAGGACAGTATATAGGCACAATTTAAACACAGTGAGTTCTCCTCATTTATGGGTGTTACGTCCTGTGAAGCCCTGTGAACACTGGGCGAGCCAACACACCAGCCTTGCTGGACCCCAGCACGGACACCGCTTGGCCCATGCACACGTTCTCAGATGACCGAGAAAGCACTGCGAGCAGAGGTTTGGGGGTAACAAATAAACTTTAGCAAATATGGAATATGGAATCCACAAATATACAATTCGCAAATACTGAGGATTGCCTGTATATGTATATGTCACATGGTTAAAGATTTATCATTTATTTCCAGAGCATCAATGAAAAGTCTTTACAGTTTATCCTAAAGATTAGACATTCCTCTGTAAGTATCATTCTAAAATGCAATTGTTTTCACTGACTATTTAAACCTTTTTTTGTGTGCACTGTTCTAGGGAACAGAGGGGATAAGAAGCATAAAGCTTTTCCCATAAACTAGTTGAATAAAAGTTGGAATATCCATAACACAGAGCAAGAAGTCGGTCAGCAAACTGCCCATCAGCAGGCTTGCACAGTACCAGAAGGCCCGTCAGCAGGCCTGCACAAGACCAGAAGGCCCCTCAGCAGGCCTGCACAAGACCA